AAATTTTATTTAATTAAAGTACAAAAAAAATGTTGCTGCAGTTACTTGTGTCTCCACATGTGTAACTTGTGATTGCTCGGTTATTATGTGAAGAGCAGACTGCTTTATGCTGGGTTTACCACAAAGTAACCTTTAAGCAGCCTGAGGCTTTATTTCATAAAGGAATTTTGCCATGTAGATATACTGAGTTCAGGATACTACACTATGGTCACTATGGTCATCATAGTTTCTTTTTGTTCTCAGTAAAGGATAATACTTCACAACCAAATTAAACTTTGATAGCTGAATACGGGTGAACTTGAACTTAATATTGTTTAAATACAATGTTGCATTAGAATCTTGGCTTAACAGTAAATGATTTCTTCAATGAAAGAATCATAATTCAAGAGATGGTTAAGTTCAGATCTGTAGCTAAGATGATCAGGAATTATTTGCTGTTTGAACTTGTCTAATTCTCTTGTATTTTTACTAGATTTCTTTTTAATGTAAAATATATTTTAAAGGATAATATAAAATTGGTCTCAAGTACACAAGGCATACCAGCAGTTCTGTTTGGTTATTACACACAGTTCCGACTGAGCAGTAGGCTCTTGTTTTTCAAATCACTTTGTAATATGTGGGTCATCAAGATAAAATCAAATTAATTTTCAGAGTAACATTTTAAGTGTAATGTTGCATCCAGAAATGACAAAGGCATGCTTTCATCATCCAAGACACCAAAACCCATACTGTTTGTAAGTTACCTAAATTTACCATGATATTTGGTATTCCTGTGCAGTTCTAGAGTATGATTTCCATCAAATATGTCTAGTGTGACCTTTGAGTACCGTCAGGATAAGCTGACAGCTTTAAATGTGCAAATTTGAGAAATTACAATTTAGCGCTTGCCTGTTTGGTTTTAAATTGAGTTTTTCTGACAAAAGTCTGAGTTGAAGCATATTGTGGCATAATATTTGGGCATACTCAATATTAAATGAGATTTGGGTTTATTTTTGTAAAATCTTCTTACACAAAGAAGCATTCATAAGCAAATAAGCATGTATTGTATATTTAGAAATACTCCAAAATGCAGTGAGATTTGTAAAGACATATAAAGATGTAGTGATTTCATTATTCTTGATTGTGATCAGTGTTGATTTAAAATTCTTTCGCTATATCTAAATAGCAAGGACTACATTTTTATTTTACATATTATCTCAAGTTTAAGGAGGAAAAATGGATACGTTTTCTGAAAATGCATTTTTATGAAATATTAGTTAGTAATAATAGTATACTTACTACATGCATGCTAAAATTGTTTCGTCAAAAATAAGTTGCAGGACTATGTGGATAAAGGCTGTTGGTTTTGATTTATGTAGCTCTAGCCATCCCAAACTGGGGCATGTTATTGTGGGAATGCAGATTTCCCAACTAATGTGACACTGTCTGGCTGCAGGTGATGAAACTAAGCAAAGTCAGCAAGTTTTGCCAGCTGAAGCTTAAATTTTTGAGAGACATCAATACAAAAAATACTTTGATGTCCACTTCTTTTTTCTAGAGAACATGCTGGCAACATTTTTTAAACTCATCATAGGTGTTCATCTATCACTTGTCTTCCCACTGTTCTAGTATCCTGTTTGGACATCATAGAAATGTAGATGTTCTGCTGCACTCTGCGATATCAGCAAAAATTTTTAGACAGTGAAATCTTACTTCCTTATGTGCTTGGGGTTTACATTAAATTGGTGTTTATCTTTTGTCGTCATGAAAACACTGAGCTAGTTTTCTAAGACTTGGGAAGTATTTAAATATTTTCCTAGACACTTTTTTTTTTTTTTGCCTTCATTCTAAAGTATGAATGTTGCTGCTGTTTTGTAAAGCAAATGCTCTTTTCCTACAGCATAAAAATGTTCTGTGACCTGAACTTTTTATCCTATTCTTCCCCTCCTAGTCATGGAGAAAGGGGACATGAATAGTTAAATGCTATTTTTGGATGATATTATGTGCAAGTTGTTTTTGTTTTGTATTTTAATTGTTTTGAATGGGGGAATAAAATCATAAAAATTGTTACATGGAAATGGAGGGTAGTCATCAGTGAAGCACTAGTATGCTTCTTGGCCTTTGTGAAGAAAGTACAGATGCAAATCACAAACCACCTTCCACAGAGGTTGTTCATACAGAAGAGCTGTGGGATGCTGTGTTGCAGTTTAGTTTGTAGCTGATAGAAAGCAGCATAAGGCTGATGACAAAGGACAAGGGGATTAGGGTGGTCTGGTATAAATTTTTATGGATACCCTGATTCTGATAAACATTAGCTAAAAAATACTGAACTACATAAGTCCTATTCCCTGTTAATGTCTCCCAATTGTAAAATCAATGTGCAGAGTCATTCAAATCCATTCAGGCTTCTAGAATTTGTTGTTCTAATTATGAACATATGGTCTAGGTATAACTTTAAACAGTGGTCGAAAAGAAGGTGAAGTCAGTAGCTTTCCATCACTAGTAATTTAAAACAAATACTACTGATTTACAAGTCAACTTTTGGGTTGTTGGCATGTGTGTTTGCAATAAGCATATTCAACAAATGGAAGTTAATGATTCTTGAGTAGAAGACTTGGCAATCTTCTGGTGCCTTGCTGTGGGATGGTTAAATCCTTCTTCCAACATCTAATGTATTATATTAATAAGTCCTGACAATGAGCAACTGACTTTTTGGTTGTAGATGTTAGACTTGACCCTGTTTTGCCTACTCAGCAAGAGATTACATTTGTTCCTGTCTATATATGCCTATCTGTTAGTAGCACTTGTGTGTGGTGGAGTGGCAGAGGTCTGGTGCAGTGGTTAAATAAACACAGAGCCTCTGCTCTGATATGGGCAAACCCAAGATTGCCACACCTTGAACACTGTATTCAGTTCTGTGCCTCTCAGTTCAGGAGGGATTTTGAAGTGCTGGAGTGAGTCCAGAGAAGAGCAGCGAGGCTGGTGAAGGGACATAAGTGCTATGAGGAGAGGCTGAGGGAGCTGAGGTTGTTTAGCCTGGAGGAGAGAAGGCTCAGGGGAGACCTTATCACCCTCTACAACTACCTGAAAGGAGGTTGTAGTCAGGTGGGGGTTGGTCTCTTCTCCCAGGCAACTAGCAGTAGGACAAGAGGGCACAGCCTCAAGCTCTGCCAGGGGAGGTTTAGGCTGGATATTAGGAAGATATTTTTTTACAGAAAGAGTAATCAGGCATTGGAATGGGCTGCACAGGGACCTCCAGCGGATTCACTGTCCCTGGAGTTTTTCAAGATGAGACTGTTTGTGGCACTTAGTGCCATGGTCTAGTAACCACAGTAAGATTGGGCTTGATGATCTTTGTGGTCATTTCGAACCCAGCTGATTCTATGAAGTTGTCAGCTGCAGTAACTGGATGTAGTAGTTGGTGGCTGCCATTGGCTTGGGTGTACAGTGAGTCAACCAAGCACAGACGAAGCCTATGTGTGTGCGTGTCTTTGAGGGAAAAGGGAATGGGATGGCTAAGGAGCCCAGCACTAGAGAAGATCTTAACTGGGACCAGGTGTAGCTGAACCATGAGCACGGATGTAAATAGTGTAATTTAACTCATGTAATGATCAACATAAACTGACAGTTCTGCACGTACTAGTGAATTGTCTGTGCTGTACTGTAACTGGACTAAGTGAGATATTGTGGACTCTCAGCATGTACCTCTGGCACACATACTTGAGGTTTGGAAGTGATTCCTATGGGGAATGACATAGCAGTCCAAGAAATGCATTTGTATAATGTGCATTGTATTCCTAATGGGGAACCTGCCTTCTTTCTGTGCATCATGACTAGGTTATTGTTTCATGTTAGCTTGCTAGTGGTTTCAGTAGCTTTTAGTGGGAGCAAAGTCACTTTAGGATCGCAAGTTGCCTGTTACCACAACACTTTTTTTTTTTTCTTCTTCTTCTGGGACTTATATGAAGGAAAGGGCTTCATGTGAATAAAGTGAGTTATTGGAAGAAAAGGAAAACACTTATACAAAACTGATTTTGACCACTTGTTCTGATCTGAAGTTCTTGATTTACAGATGTTGCATTGGTAATTCCTAATAAATTGAAATCCTAGTATGAAAGCAAGTATTATCCTAAATAGTGCATCTAGTCTGTTGAAATTAAGACAAAACAAAAACTGGTGCCATGCCATTTCTCTTTAGGAAATCAACTATGCATGTATAAATCTTTTTGCTTTTTTTTTTTTACAATTTTCTTATTATTGGAGAATAATCCCAAATGAAAACTTCTGTATCATTATTTAAAAAAAAAAAAGTTATAGCAAAGAAAAGAAAAAAATCCTGTCCTACTTTTGACAAAAAAAAAAACAGTAGTTCGTAGACCTGGTAGAAGAACTAAACGTTTTTTTTTAATATATTATTTCAAGAGAAGATAAGAAGACTCTAATGTTGTGTCTACCTCCTAGTTTGCCCTTTGTTTGATAATGGATATACAGCAAATATAAACCCTGCCAAGAGATTAAATGAGAAAAGGTGTGTTTTGGTAGTCTGTCCTCACTGTTCCTTGAACCTTAGCATTTCAGGGGTAAGAGATTTCAATTGCCCAAGGCTTGTACGATCACCTCTTTCCCAGTTCTTACTTGTATTTTCATGTACTTCCTTTGCTGCTTCACTGTTCTGGATCCTACCATATGTACTACTTTATAAGACTTGTGTTTTCATGTTGAATGAAGTCTTACGCAATTAGTGGTTTGAATTGTGGTAGTTGGTTAGACTAGCAAGCTATTTTTTCATCCAGAGTTATACTTTACCTGATTTTAGTCACAATTGTTAGAACTTCCTTGCACTCGTATGGGAAACAAACAAGGAACCTGCTGGTTTTTTTAGTTTAGTGGTAAATTTTGCTAGAACAACAGCACAATCCTATTTACAACTGCTAGTATAGCTATTGTGAAATATGCTGCCCTACTACAGCTTCTAGAATGGATGCTCTGATTACTGAGAACAGTGCTTTAAATTAATGTGATAAGTTAGAGAAAGGCAGTGTAAATATGATCATAGGGGATATATTTTGCAGCATAGGCTTGTAATATAATTACGTGTTCACGTGGGAAGCTGATTTGAGCTGACTTTCCCAGCTACTGCCTCTTTGCTGCCTTTCTTTATTCACACTTTATTTTGGCAAATTAATGCGGGGAACTGAGTTTATTTGCTTTATTACATTTGCCTCGATTGTTTTATTCTGGACTCTTCAGTATAGGTATTTTTAATTATTTTTGTTAAGGAAAGTGTCTCTGAGTTAAGAGACTTTTCTCCATGAAAGAAAAAGATCTCTGGTAAAGTCTGAATTTACAACTTGCTTCATCATATTTTCCTACTGCTACAGACATGACAGATTTAACATTAAAATGTTGAAAATGTTTTTTAATGGTTTTCAGTCTAGTGAACCCCTGAGTTTGTGTGCATCTAGGAGGAGATAAGGGGTTAAATTCTGAGTGTATTTTGTCAAGGCAATTAGTTCAATGATCCAACAAGCCCACCTTTTAGCTGCAAAACACTGCAGTGAAGACATTATTTTTAGCTTCTTTATACTGGATTTCAGTAGACCCTCCTATATGCTTTATGTAAGCCCTTTGGCATTTGTTTAGCTTGAATAGTCATGAATAAAAGAGTTTAGAGCTGGCTTTAAAGTGCAGCTTCTGAATTAGGAAAAAGAGGATTCAGATTGCCTTATGCGCCTTGTTTTCCTTCTCCTTGAGGCTAAACATTTGTGTCTGAGCAAAACTACTTCGTTGTCTTCAGTTTTTAAAGGGAAACTATTCAGTGCACAGTTCACTGCCTATTAGTATATGTTTTTGATATATTAAGAGTGAGTATCTCTGTCTCTTTGGTAGATCTAAGTATTTCTTCGGGGGCTTACACTCAAGTATATATGTCAGTATTCGGCTTTTCTCTTGGCGGAGATACATGTCCATGTAAAAAAGTATTTACTTATATATTTATGTGAGCATATATTTATCTAAGCATGTACTTGGCTTTTAGGATCTAGGCTTACCAGGTCTTTGTGAAAGGAGATTTTTTTCTCAACTCATTCAGTATTGTTCACAGCATTAACACATCACTGAACAAATTGCCCTCTTGCATATGCTAATCCTGCACTTAAAAGAACTCATTGTAACACGTTTTAATGCTTTAGCTGGAATGGAGATGGGAATCGCAGGCATGTCAAATTGTCATGTGACTGAAAAATGTCTAAAATGCTCTTTGGGTCAACAGTTTGTACTTAGCATAACTTAGCATGAATGAAAGCAGTCCGTGTAGTTTGAGGAAAAGATTAGTCTTTGCTTTTGTCTTTTGTGTGTGTGTGTTGGCCTCAGTTTTTCAGATCAAGTTTGATTAAACAACACTTTAGCCTTAATTTCACACTAGTAGTGAATGTTATGCTGGAAGTAAAAATATTTGATCTTTGTTTGCAATACATTTGTTGAAGGAATCCAGTTGGAGTTTACTGCAGCTAACAATTGATTACTACATAACCTTATTTGGCAATTATTTTAAGAGTTACAGGCAAGCTGCATTTTAACTATCTATATCTGCAGGTGTAGACATACCAAAGCCTCAACTATTTATGGTCGTCTGGAAGTGAGTAATCAATCAGATTGCATTTGGTAAATCTCTTTTATTATATGGAATCTGAATATTAAAAAATAATAAAATCATTGTTACTTACTCATGAATAAACAGCAAGCTTGCTTCTCCTAAACAATAAATTCAATTGAATTAATTAGTTAAAATAGATGGTGACTGACAAGTGAACTAAACTTTTGATAAGTTGAACAATGAAAAGCCAAGCTTCTTAGAATGCCTGAAGCTGTACATGTTTGCCTGGAGGACTTTAATTTGAATTAAATGGAATGAAAGGCTAAGTAGGTATCACATTTCTAAAGCATCTATCACATCCAATTTGAATTTTTAAGCGTATATGAAGGAATCTTGAAAAGAATTTTTGATTGACCTTGTTTTTTTGTCTTTACAGAGTAATTCTCTTTTGGTCCCAGACAGTCTGCGAAGCACAGATAAACGCAGGAATGGCCCTGAGTATGCCAATGACATCAAAAAGAGAAAGGTGGATGATAAGGATTCCAGCCACTATGTAAGCAAATCTGTGTCAAAGAAATGACTAATTTATTTGCACATACTGTGCTTGTGTGAGGAGTTAGAAGTGTGTGAAGAGCAAGGCAACATGTTTCCTATGGCTTCAGAAGTGTATGAATATATGTGCCAGAGAGACCATTATTCACTTTGTGAGAAGTGTAGTGACCCGGTAGCTTGGGGTGTTGTTAAGGAATACTCCTCTCTTTGAGTGAGATCCTTTCTGGACTTCTTTAAAACCTGCAAGTTTGTTTGAAATGCAGGGGTTTGTTATTGAGGGGGATTTAGTAAATTTTTTTTTATACCTCTCTATTACCATGTTGAGTAATAATTACTGTTGCAAATTGTGTATGTTATGAGGCTATATCAACTTGTAAAGGTTGCTTTTGGTTGATACGGCAATTTCATCAGAAAGCAAATTGAAATTAAAAAGTTCACAGTTTGTGTTCTGCATTTTTGACTAGCTTGCGTGTTACTTGATTTTGAAGAGACACTTCAGTACATCAGTGCAACATATGTGAACTTCAGAAGGTTCACATAGGCTTTCTACCTCCAGTCTAAGTGCTCAGCCACATCACAGGATGGTACTTGAACAGGCTTAAGACACTAGGACTGGTGTGAGAGGGTACTGAAATGCAGAATTTAAATCCAACAGAACATACTGTACTTAGACATAGCAATAATGTGGCAAACTGTCTGGTTTAGATGAGTCAGAGCACTAATTACTTCTTGGTTACTGAAATGCAGGAGAAAATTAGGTGCCACTTTATCTCCTCAGTATTTGATTTGGTAAGGTAATTTCTCTTCATTTGGAACCGGAATATCTTTGAGCAGTTATTGGATATTTTAGTGCTGTTACAGTTTGACAAGTTGTGTTTACATCACTTTCTAGTAATACTGTTTTGATTACAGAAGGGTATGGCAAACTTCTGTGTTAGTCCCTCAACTTTGAGGGTTTGATATTCTATTGGCATTTTTCGTTTTAACTATTTGAAGATTAAACATTCTTAAGCTATATTTGATATGAAAAGAAAAGGAAGAAAAAGCTTAACTTACCTGTTTTTCTTGTGTTTCTACTGGAAAGAAATGGGAAGGATATTATTGCAGTGTAGAAGGAGTTTGCTTTAATCCACATTTTAAATGTGTTTCTGCCTGCTGTTTGCATGAAATGGATTTTACAGATAAGGGCCGCATCAAAACAAAGAATTGAGCAAAGCAAAGATATTGAAAGTTCCAGGTTTATTCTAATCTTGAAGAAGATCTATTTTTTTATTTAAGGTTTACCAGTCCTGCAAATACAGAGTTGCTGCTTTTGAGCTCATTTTAGATGAGGCCCTTATAGCAGCAAGGAAGTGCTGCTTTTGTCAAAAAGGACATAACTAACTTGTAGGAATTGTTGCTTTCGGAAAAAAAAAAAAAGATGCAAAATGAAATGATTTTTTTTCTCTTTTTGACTTCTGACTAATTTTCATGTAGTTTTAATATGTGAGTTTAAGAATGGGGAGAATTTTCTGGTGGTATTAGCACTTACAGGAGATGCCTTTGGTAGTCTCAGTAAATTTCTGTTTTTCAAGATGACAAAGTCAGTGGAGTCCACTTAAACATTGCTCCTCAGCTATTTTTGCCATCCTCCACGGTGGTATTTCTGGCAAACAAGTGTCCCAACTACTGTGCTCCCACACTCACAAGTATGTTCTTACCTGTTCTAGAAATCTGTGTGCTTCATACTTCTCAAGAGGTGGCAGATACCTGGGGGAAAGCTTTCATTTCCTTCCTCTGCACCTCTTGGTTGGATAGGTTCCTGAGTAGCAAATAGAGCCACCATTCTGTCTGCAGTGGCTCTCTGGCTCCCTGATAGGTTAGTGGGATTTCTTGGAGCAAGATTCACCTGTCAAAGCAGAATGGAAGAGCTGAAATTGCCTATTGGTTTGGGGTTTTTTTAGTTGAATTATTTCTTAATTTAGTTTGGTTTTGTTTTGGACTCTTTAGTTGTTCTGGTGGGTTTTGGGGGTTGGGTTTTTTTTTGTTTGTTTGTTGTCTTCTTGGGGTTTTTTGGTGGGTTTTTTGGTTGGTTGGGTTTTGGCTTTTTTTGGTTTTGGTTTGGTTTGTTTTTTCTTTGTTTTGTGTTGTTGGGGTTTTTTTAAAGTATTATGGTCTGTAGTGAGAGGAAGGAACTGGTGGTAAGTGGGAAAGCCCAGACAACTTGAAAGGAAAAATTGGGGCACAGTTGAGCAATCCTATATGTCTGATTTGTTTTCCTAAAAGGTTTTAACTAAAAGTGCTTTTATTGGAAATGCCAAACTTGCCCACGGAAAATTTTGACATTCACTTGATTTGTTTGTTTGATTTTGGTTTTGAGTCGAGACTTGCCTTGTGATTTGAACCATCATGTTGCACTGTGGAAATCACTAGACCACTGTGTGTCAGAGAATATGTCTATTGGGGCATTCCAGCCTGTGCTGGAGATAGAGAACAAAAGGCACTTAAGGAACAAGAATCATGTGGCACTAGAGAAGCTCAGGTGAACATGAATCAAAGTGAAGTAGTCAAAATGCACCTTGACAAGCTGCAGTACAACATTTCTGTTTAGGAATGTCTTAATACTTTAGGAAATATTTTGGTTTTCTTAGGCAGAAATGTTGAAATGCCATGGCATTTCTGAAGCTTTTTCTTCCCCAAAACTTTCCATTTCAAAACTTGCCTTCCTGGAAAAAGGGTATAATTGTCCTATTGCTTTGAGAGGATGATTCATCCAATGAATGCCAAAACCCTCCCATTTTCTGAGATCCTTGGGGTTCTTTAGGTATGCACAAACAGTAATTTCTGTAAGATTAGTGTATGAGCAGAGTTCCTTTCTCTTTTAGGAGAAGTGATAACATTGTATATAATGGTAATAATGAGGGGTTTTGGGCCACCTTGCATTGATGGTGGGATCACCATCTTTCAACTAGTCCTACTTTATTTGGGTTTTATTACTGAAGCAGAAATAAGGTGTGTTTCTCTTTTCACTGTGTTCTCTACTGCTAATAAGTTAATGAAAGGCCTTTGCTTTTTGTCTAGGAAAAACAAAAAATGTCTGAGTAGATACGTAGTCTTTCTCTCCAGGCTCTTACTGTACTAATTGACATGAACACTATATTTATTTATTTATTTTTAATAGGACAGTGATGGGGACAAGAGTGACGATAACTTGGTTGTAGATGTATCCAATGAGGTAACTTTTTTCATTTTTGTAGTCTTGACGTTTGCCCAAAGGTTAAAGGAACAGTGCATTTAGATGCTGGAAGAAAAATAATTCTCTGTGTGGATATGTTAAAATATTCACAGCGTCTCCTTTTTGTTAGTACTGCAGTTACTGTGTCTTCCTCTGAGCTTTATCTGGTTGCCTTCTCAGCTTCTGCTGCTGCTGCTTTGTCCAGGTCTGTTCCCTCCACAGTTACATTCTGATGCTTCACAGCTGCTCTGTAGCATAGAGAGTTGCGTTGAGGTGCACGTGGAAGGCTGAGGTCTTCAAACTACTGTCTGCAAATGGAAAAGGAAGACATTATCTCATGTTGTTTTAATAGTAGGACTGTTACTAGTAACATTGCCTTAAAAATTGCTAGTGTTTTAGTGTCCTATGTTAGGCAGCATTTTCCAGAAATGTTTTTTTAGAATGAAGTCAGTCAATTCACAAGATTTTCTGGAGATTGTAGCCACCTTTTTTTCTCCAAGGCAGATATTTGGCAATGACATCAAGGTGAAGGGATGAGTGTTCCCTGTTTCCTTTTCTTCATCTTTTATTTCATACAGCAGAGATTTAGGAAGCCTGAATATAGTAGTGATTTCTTTGGCTCTGTGAAAAGCACAGGGCAGGGGGAGAAGCTAGTAGAGGAGAAGTGTCTTCAGTATCTCCCTTCAGTAGCTCCAAGTGCCAAAACTGTGTCAGTCAAGTAGAAAAATAGGTATCAAACTAGTGATTTATTAATCCTTTCAGAAGCTCTGCTTGCAATGAAACTGCTCAATAAATGATCACTAGATTTAGAGCCCTCTTGTGAGGTGTGCTTCCTCCCTGTTGCTATTCTTATGAGCCAAAGAAGCGTGAAGAACCTGCAGAGCTCTGATGGCATTGTAGCTTGCTGTGCTGTGTATTTCAGGTTAAAGTAAATGCAGAGAGTGCCTCTGGAAGAGAGAAAAAAATCATCTGGAAGGTGATTTACATTTTTTGTAGATTTAGGTAGTGAGGCAATTGCAGATGGTGTTTAGAATGAAGTGACAGATTTTATGGCATATAAAACATGTGTCTTTATTCTTTTGAAGGTAGAGATAAACAAGGCCTATATTGCCTAAAAGACATTATTGAAGTGTTGGTTGTCACTAGCAGAGCATGGAGAACATACACAGAAAAAACAGTGTCAACTTACTGGTCTTCCTTGTGCTTATCACATGTTTTGAGCACTTGCTTTAGTTTGTACTTAGGTATACTTAGACTGATAGTTCAGTACTTGGAAACAATTTATGGTCACATGTAGTGTAAAAGAAAAACAGATTGTTTATGAGTTTACTTAAGTCTATATTGATGAAGGGATTTCAGCTTTTTTTTCTATAAAGATAGCAAAATGTCTTGTCATTTGAACTTACTGCTTAAATTCTTCTAGTTTTTTTCCCTATAGACGCCTTAGTGGTGTTTGTGTACCAACTCATAACACTGTTCTGTGCTGTTCTTTCCTTCCCATTGTTTTAGGATCCTTCTTCCCCAAGGGCAAGTCCCACTCATTCACCACGTGAAAATGGTATAGATAAAACTCGCCTGCTGAAGAAGGATGCCTCCAGCAGTCCAGCATCTACAGCCTCTTCAGGAAGTTCCACTTCCCTCAAATCCAAAGAAATGGGTCTGGTGGGTAGCAGTCTGTTTTCTAGATAAATGTTCTTGTAAAGTCTAACACACCATTCTCCTGCAACTACTTGTCGCGCAAAGCATCTGGCATTAAACATTTGAAGCTGAAATTGGCTATTGTTTTTCCAGGCCTTTCTAGTATTTCAGCTTGCCTCCTCAACAATATTTTCTGCTTTGTTTTGATTTCTTGTATTTCCTACATTTCTGTCAAATGAGTTGCAAATTTATTGCAAAGTACGAGAGTTGGTTAAGGATTGTTTATTTTTTTTTCCTGGAGCAGTAGCTTATGGTTTAACATAGTCTGTATATAGTCACTGAGAAGTTCTTCATGCTTTTGTTAAACTCTTCTAAATAAGCTGTTATTCTCTGAAAACCTTTTCCTGAGGTATCACTAATAATTTAATCAGATTCCATGTAAGTTTTGTGTCGTGGGCTTTTTTATATCAACTATGGTGGTATTTTGGTTTTGTACTTAGATTTGTTGTGTCCAGTAATAATTGAGACATTAATTATTTCAAGCTAAAATAGTTTTGTAATGCATACTGTATTGTCCCAAAACAAAATGAGCTCAGGCATTTTTTTTTAATGTCAGTGGAAGAGGAAAAATAATTTTCTGTGTTTCTTGTTTTAATTTTGGCAGCAATGAAAAAGGTCAGCATTTCTCTCTCAGAAGTTAATGTTGTCAGCATTGCATGGATTTATGAAACATTGGCTGAGGGACTAGGTAGTAGATGCCCAGCATCTCAGCTGCTGTTGTGATAAATTGTATAATATGGCCTGGATTAAAAATAATACTCATTTAATTTGTTTAATGACACCAGCATGAAAAAGCCAGCACGCCTGTTCTGAAATCCAGCACACCAACTCCTCGAGGTGATGTGCCAACCCCAGGCACTAGTGCAACTCCAGGACTTCGTCCAGGCCTTGGCAAACCTCCAACAATGGACCCTCTGGTTAACCAAGCCGGTAATGCATTACCTCATGTGTTTTTATGGTTCCAAAATTAATCTTTTTTTACATATGTAGCGCTTTGCAACTGTTAGCTAAATATATTGCTTTGTTCTTGATATCAAGAGAGGGCTTGATGAGAAGCAGATGTTTGGATTATCAAGAGTTTGAATATCTTTCTATCTCTTACTCTTCTTTGTTTACTTTTGTCTTTATCTTTTTTGCAAATAATCCAGAGACTGAATGCAATATAAAAAGACTTCTCAGAAATTTCTGGTACTTGCTCTGCATGCAATCCCTTCTACAGTATTTGTCTGAGTCTACTAATATTTGCTGCAGTGTACAGCTTGACAAATGCCGGGGGAAGTTTACTTTTGCTATTCAGGCTGGTACACACAGTTGCTTCAGACATGAGCTGTGTAAACCATGTCTGTCAGCTTTACTGCTTAATTTGGCAAAGAAGAGATTAATGTAAACAGGGGAATATTACAGAAGTGGAAATAGGTAATGCTAGAAGAGATTGCTAGGAGTAATCAGCAAGTTCAGACTTAGCAGATTTCTTTTACACTGAGTGAAAAGAGCTGATGGCACTGACAAATTATAGCAATGTTTCCTGGCAG